AGACCAAGCTTGCTATCGCTTAATTCTTCAGAGGGTGCTTGATCCTCTGTTCGCGTCAATTCAACTAAAAATTTTTACTCTTATTTGGGGAACCACTGGAATAATATTTGCCATGACTTTCCCTAATTTTTTGAAGTCGTAGAAGGCTCTCCGCAGAAAAGAATGACCTGAAAGCTGAAAGATCTGCATCAACTTCAGTTGAACCAATACCATAGGCGTTGTGGAAGCGGTAGTACAACTTACGCAAGGACTCCAGGTCACTAGGTAGCCCTTCTGATGCAAGCATCAATTTGATGCTGGTACTAGTGTGTCCTTCAAAACATACACTGGATGGTTGGTCGTGAAGATAGGCAAGGAATAGCCTAAGAGATTTCAAAATGGAGGGGTCCCTCAACCTGGCCAACACGTAACGTCCATTTACCGCATCTGAGTCCTGAGACAGCCGTACTATAGTGGAGTCATCGGGTCCATAACTACCAAACCATCTCTCTTCGTACTTCCCTGCACAATAATCTCTGGATTTTCCATCGCCAGGGACTTGCAAGCAGCTATAGCCTCCCTGGCAGACCCAAATTTGGACACGATTTATTTAAACTAATTTCAAGTCCGGCTCCGTTTTTTTTTAATATTTAATATATTCATCGTTACAATATTGTATATCGTTACAATAAGCTTTCAAACTTAAACGTGGAGGGTTGAATACGGAAAATTAAATGCAATAAAATAATAAAAAATAATATAAATAAAATGTAATATAAACAATCAAATCATTTCCCCGGAAGATGGATTGGAAATGGTAGAGCAGTATAATGGCCAGCGAGGTTCCTGGACCGTCTGACGACGTCAAGTAATTCGACAGGTCCAAGTTTTACAAAAAAGTGAAATCAATACATCTCGGCAGTTACAATAAAGAGTACAAAATGCATTCGAAAGTATAAGAAGAAGATCTATTCAAAAGCTATAAATAAAATTGAACGAAAAATAAATTTGTGCAATAGGGAGGGTGGTAACTCTTTCGAACATGTAGACTATGTAAAGCATTAGAAACTAGTTTGTAGAAGTTAATTTATTCATAATAACTACGATTAATATTATGCAAATTATTAGTTCGTACCCTGAGAATTTCAAATTCACAATAAGAAAAGTTAAAAATAATATCTTTAAATTGCTGATCTGGATATTATTTATTTGAATTTTTCAATTGGCTCAATTTTCCTTATTCAATGTTAATTAGCACTGATCAATACTGTTACAATGAATATAATCAGATTATATTATATATTATTAATAATTAAATAGTTTTGTTGCTGTTAAGGTACCCAAAACAAAAAAAAAGTATAATGTGTGGCATATCATTGTACTCAGGAGACTGAGTTCTTTCAAAATCTGAAATAAAAAATGCAGGTCCGTATTTAAAAAAATTAAGTTGGCCTTTGTATCTCACAAATTATCAGCTAATTTGAAAATCTAAAAATACTATCAGATAGCCCTAATAAAGTGGCTATGAGAATGTGTAATTAGTTTTTTGATTTTCTAAAAAGTAACGACAGGAAAAAATAAAATTGATTTTCAAAAAAAACCATTTTTTCCAAAAAACTCAGCAATCCTTGAAATTTTTAAAACTTTTTTAATGGCATCTTGGTGAACAGCCCAAGGCGTAACTTTGCCCCAATTTAACCATCTTCGTATCTATTACGGGTTCCGAGATACCAATGCTCGTACCTCGAATTTGTAGCACCCTGTATACACATGTTTGTTATTTTGAACTTTAACAACGAAACATTTTTAAACTAAAATTTTCATATTATGAAATACATTTCGAACGAACTTCACTTTTCCTCATTGCTTTTTTCGAGCTTGAATATAAATCTGAATGACGGCATTTGCGTATTTCAAGTTCTTTTAATGGATTTTCATTGGCTTGCAAACAAAACTAGTTTTTTGATAAATACGAAAAATCTCGAATTCGCGGACCCGTTGAATGCAAACTTTTCTGCTCTTTTAGCGTTCGAACTGAATAAAACCGAATTAAAACCAGTACAAAAAGAAAAGTAATAATGTAAAACAAAAAGAAATCAGTTCAATCAATCTAAAAGCGATTAAACAGCCAGTACACACACAAACTATGCTATCCTCTATTATTTTTTCTAAATGCCTCTTCCTGTATATAGAAAGTTTAAAACATTTTCCGATGCACGTCATTAACTTTGAGTGACAAGCGATGGCGACAGCGCTGCCAGATTGTGATGAATTTATGAGAGAGATGAATCTTAATTTAAAAGTGACAAACAATATTATTTAGTATATAATTTTTATATAATTTTTTTAAAACAGCAGATACCCGCTACAAATTGAAATAAGTAGAAATAACTTGAAAGTGGTATAATATGCTTACCAATCAATCTTACTTCTCTGACTGCATCTAAGGGTAATTAAAGGACCTTTATTGTCACTTTCGCGGTCAAAATATTTTATCAGGGAAGCTACAAGCGCTTTGCTTGGACTGTTTAAAGGCTTCGGCATATTTTCAATCCACAATTTCAAAAAATGCAGTAAAAAATCTCGAAAATTTAGTTCTTAAAATAACTTTTTGTGCTTAGAAGTACAATTTAAGAAAAAAAACTTTGAAAAACGGCAAAAAACGAGAATTACTCCCAAAAATTCAACAACACGATATTATACAAAATAATGACTGACACTACAACATTGCTAAACATGGCGCAATGTGACCAACAAGGCGATAATAAAAATTGGTTTAAACTAATTTTTGCAGCTTTAATCTAAATAAAATATCTGTTACAATCATTTGCTCTATAAAGTATAATGAAGAGCTGCTTGGTATTTTAATTTAGTCAACAAATTTAAACATTTTTGTTAAAATTTCATTAACTCAGATTTATAGGCTTTAGTGTCAATTTCGATGTGATTGATGACGTGCATCGGAAAATGTTTTAAAATTTCTATAAATCCTAGATTTTCTATTTAATGGCTACTGTTATATTATGAACACGGTATAAAAACACTTCATTACGAAAAATCAAGTACGGGACGGCTGTGCTTAAACTAATGCTGCAAACGAATGGTTGTTGCGATGTTCGGCTGCGATATTGCAATTCACACTTGATAACGGCCAGTGATAAGTACTTCTGACCCTAAACGTTGTGTAAGTAAAATAAATAAAGACAATGGAGGTCCGAAATTCTTTTAGTTTCTATAATAATTGTACATACCCGTTTAGTGTTTTTATTTTGAACTTTAATATCGGCAAATTATTTAACTAAAATTTTTATGTTGGAAAATGCAATTCGCATGAACTTCACTTTTTCTCATTACTTTTTTCTAGTTTGAATATAAGTCTGAAAAACGGCAATCGCGTATTTCAAGTTCTTTTAATGGATTTTCATTGGTTTGCCAACAAAACGAGTTTTTTCATAAACACAAAAATCTCCAATTCGCAGACCCGTTGAACGCAAACTTTTCTGCTCTTTTTGCGTTCGAACTGAACGAGACCGAATTAAAACCCGTACAAAAAGAAAAGTAATAAAGTAAAACAAAGAAAGAAATCAATGCAATCAATCTGAAAGCGATTAAACAGCGAGTACACACAAAAACAATTCTAACCTTTATTATTTGTTCTAAAATTCCACTTCCTCTATAAATCCTAGATTTTCTATTTAATGGTTACTGTTATATTATGAACATGGTATAAAAACACTTCGTTACGAAAAATCAAGTACGAGACGGCTGTGCTTAAACTAATGCTGCAAACGAATGGTTGTTGCGATGTTCGGCTGTGACATTGCAATTCACACTTGATAACGGCCAGTGATAAGTACTTCTGGCCCAAAACGTTGTGTAAGTAAAATAAATATGGAGACAATGAAGGTCCGAAGTTCTTTTTAGTTTCTATAATAATTGTACATACACGTTACGTGTTTTTATTTTGAACTTTAATATCGGCAAATTATTTAACTAAAATTTTCATGTTTGAAAATGCAATTCGCGTGAACTTCACTTTTTCTCATTACTTTTTTCTACTTTGAATATAAGTCTGAAAACGGCAATCGCGTATTTCAAGTTCTTTTAATGGATTTTTATTGGTTTGCCAACAAAACGAGTTTTTTCATAAACACAAAAATCTCCAATTCGCAGACTCGTTGAACGCAAATTTTTCTGCTCTTTTTGCGTTCGAACTGAACGAGACCGAATTAAAACCCGTACAAAAAGAAAAGTAATAAAGTAAAACAAAGAAACAAATCAATGCAATCAATCTAAAAGCGATTAAACAGCGAGTACACACAAAAACAATTCTAACCTTTATTATTTGTTCTAAAATTCCACTTCCTGTATAAATCCTAGATTTCCTATTTAATGGCTACTGTTATATTATGAACACGGTATAAAAACACTTCGTTACGAAAAATCAAGTACGGGACGGCTGTGCTTAAACTAATGCTGCAAACGAATGGTTGTTGCGATGTTCGGCTGCGATATTGCAATTCACACTTGATAACGGCCAGTGATAAGTACTTCTGGCCCAAAACGTTGTGTAAGTAAAATAAATAAAGACAATGGAGGGCCGAAATTCTTTTAGTTTCTATGTACATACACGTTTAGTGTTTTTATTTTGAACTTTAATATCGGCAAATTATTTAACTAAAATTTTCATGTTGGAAAATGCAATTCGCATGAACTTCACTTTTTCTCATTACTTTTTTCTAGTTTGAATATAAGTCTGAAAAACGGCAATCGCGTATTTCAAGTTCTTTTAATGGATTTTCATTGGTTTGCCAACAAAACGAGTTTTTTCATAAACACAAAAATCTCCAATTCGCAGACCCGTTAAAGGCAAACTTTTCTGCTCTTTTTGCGTTCGAACTGAACGAGACCGAATTAAAACCCGTACAAAAAGAAAAGTAATAAAGCAAAACAAAGAAACAAATCAATGCAATCAATCTAAAAGCGATTAAACAGCGAGTACACACAAAAATAATTCTAACCTTTATTATTTGTTCTAAAATTCCACTTCCTGTATAAATCCTAGATTTTCTATTTAATGGCTGCTGTTTTAACGTGAACACGGTGTAAAAAACACTTCATTACGAAAAATCAAGTATACGGGACGGATGCGCTTAAACTAAAGCTGCAAACGAGTGAGGTTGTTGCGATGTACGGCCGCGATATTCGAATTGGACGTTTAACACCTATTTTGAAGGTCCGCGTTTCTTATTTTAGATATCGGAGTTATCGGTCTGGACCGTTTGGACGCTACGTTCGTTCGTTCGTTCTAATTTTTCGGGAATTCACGACGTGAACGTACTGGGAATTCGGCGGGGAGACGTAGGCCGCACGGTGGCAGATAATCAAGAAAATCGTCAAAATCACACCCAAGCAATTCGGGAATAGTGTCATTCCTATTTATAAGACCTTTTCAAATATCTAATTAAAATTATAGTTTTTTTGCACTTGGTTCATTGTCATATAATGGTATTTTGTTTTATTAGGAGTAAGAATGATACTTTTTTTGTCGAGGATGTACGTTTGACGTACCGATAACAATACAGACGAGGCACTCGAGGCACTAAAAGTCATTTTTATTCCGAATAGAACATGCATTTTTTTTTCAGGCGTCACAAATTAAACAATATCAAACGTTACAAATAATATTAAAATATTTAAAAGTAAGTAATTATACAGGGTAAGTCTTAAATAAGTACAAATATTTTTAGGGGTAATATATTTCGACCTCAGAAACACGATTATGATTTTTTTTCGGGAAAAAAAATTAGGAATTTTAAAAAAAAATAGATTTTTTTTAGTTTTTAGTTAAAAACAATAATTTCTTGATAAATGGCCAACATAGGTAGTAAATTAAAATAAAAAAAACTACTCAAATAAAATTTACTCGTTGTATTGTTTCATATGACTCTTTCAACGGTAAAATACGAGAGAAAAATCATTGGGTAGCTGTGAAAAAAAAATTACTGTGGAAAATGCCATATGAAATATAAAACTGCTAATATCTGCGAAATCGAAAAAATGTTGAAATATATAGGGTCTAAATATAAAAAATGCTCATTTTTTAATTCTCCATCCATTGAAAAAATAATATACAGGATGTTCCATTTAAAAAATTGAATAAAAATTATTTTATATTTTAGAAAGTTTGGCGTAGAATTTTGAACACCCTGTATGATTTAAGATTCCGATATTTATAGAAAAGTAAGTACAGACATAGTACAGACCATCTAAAGTATATACCTAATATAGTTTTGATTTCAGGACAGTTCTTGTATTTTTAATAATTTTTCAAGGCTGAAAAAATATATTTTTTATTTATTTATTAATATCTCTGAAACTATTGAAATATATTTACTCATATCTTAGAATTATGTAAAGTGATCAGAAAGAAAGCCAAAACTGCAAAATATACAGGACGTCCCTTTTAAAAAAACCATCCGGGTTCAATCACTCTTTATTGAGCCACCCTGTAGAAGTTAAAATATTTTTCTGAAATATACCCTAGTATATACTTTAGGTTTGCACTTAAACAAAGTTCACAAGTTTTGTATTCTAGGAGCTACAGATGCCCGACGCACTATTGGCGGACCCTGTATATTGGGCACCCTTCTAACCAGAGCTGCAAGCTCAGAGAAAATTTAAGTCTTTTCTTTATTTAAATATTTTAATGACTTAAGTCATTTGATTTTAAGTAATTTTTCAAAAGCTGATTTAAGAATTAAGATTTAAGTCTTTTTGAAAATTATTTGTGATTTTTTAAATATTTATTTCGAAATAGAAAAACATTTAAGTTTTTTTAAAAAATACTTAAGTCATTAAAAAGATTTAAGTTTTCTTGTAAAAGAAAGTCATTGAAACATTTATGTGTTTTATAAAAGGCTTAAGTCAGATTCTTATACAGGGTGGTCCGAACTGTTATTCCGGAAACTTCGGCAGCATATTCTCCAGATAAAAATAAGTAAAAAAGTAAATACCAAATATGAATAAGAAAATGTAATGGATATGGTGGAGGCTTGGGTGCCTGTATTTCATATGGATGCTAATAAGATACTAATGCACGTATACAGGGTCCGGCAATAGTGCGTCGGGCACCTGTAGCTCATAGAATAAAATACTTGAGAATTTTGCTAAAGTATGTACCAGGATGTATTTCAGGAAAATATTTTAACCTCTATAGGGTGGTTCAAAAAAGTGTGAGTGGATCTGGATGATTTTTTTAAAATGGAACACCCTGTATATTATTGCATTTTTGGATTCCTTTCAGATCACTTTACATACACCTAAGATATAAATAAATATATTTCGATAGTTTCAGAGATATTAAAAAATAAATCAAAAATATATATTTTTCAGCCCTTCTTAAAAAAATTATTAAAAATACAAGAACTGTTCTGAAATCAAAACTATATTAGGTATTTACTTTAGATGGTCTATTCTTACTTTGCTATAAATATGGTAATCGTAAATCCTACAGGATGTTCAATATTCTACGCCAAACTTTCTAAAATATAAAATAATTTTTCTTTGTTTTTTTTAAATGGAACACCCTGTATATTATTTTTTTATTAGATGGAGAGTTAAAAAATGAACATTTTTTGTATTTAGAGTATTTCAAAATTCTTAACGGTTTCGCAGATACGCGCAGTATTATTTCATATGACGCTTTTTATGACCCTGTATATATATATACAGGGTGTTTCAAAACAAATGCGAAAAATTTCAGGGGGCGATTCCTTGTTCAAAATAAAGGGTAGTTTGCTTCATAAACGTTGGGTCAAAAGTCAACCATTAGGGAGATATCGCGGTACAAAGATGGCGGAAAAATAATGTTTTTATTTTTTATCTTGAAAACGAAAAGAGATAGTCTAATGAAATTTTATGGGAGCATTACTGCTACGAAAACACACTTTCTGGTAATTTTTTCACTTTTTTAAAATGAGTGGAAGGGGTTGAAATAAACTACCCTTATCATTCTTGTCAACCAAACCAAAACGAAAAAAAATAACATGTAAAGCATTACATATCAGGATCAAAAACATTTTTAGATAAAGAATCTAGTGATAATAACGATAAGAATAAGAATCTAGATAATAACGTATTGCAGTAGAGTAATGTCAATAAAATAATATTAGAAACATCCTTAAAAGTGACAGCGGCCGACTAGATTTTTTCCTAAAAAATTAGAGCAGCCCACTAGATTCTTTATCTAAAAATGTTTTTTGTCCTGATATGTAATGCTTTTACATTTTATTTTTAATTTCAAATCGGTGAGTTTTATCAAAAACACAAGAGATAAAAAAGTTTCTAAACAAACTAAACTATCCAAATTAATTTTTTTTGCATGTGTTTGATAAGTTTTTTTTTAATTTCGTTAACAAGAATGATAGGGGTAGTTTATTTCAACACCTTCCACTCATTTAAAAAAGTGAAAAAATTACCAGAAATATGTTTTCATAACAGTAATGCTTCCATAAAAACTCATTAGCCCATCGTTTTCCTTTTTTCAAGATAAAGAATAAAAACATTATTTTTCCGCCATCTTTGGTGTACCGCGATATCTCCCTAATGGCTGACTTTGACCCAACGTTTATAAAGCAAACTACCCTTTATTTTGAACAAGGAATCACCCCTGAAGTTTTTCGTGCATTTGAAAACACCTATGTATATATATATATATGCTATATATATATATATATATATATATATATATATATATATATATATATATATATATATATATATATATATATATATATATATATATATATATATATATATATATATATATATATATATATACCGATGTCTACTTCGGGTATTGAAACGATAAATGTGTTTTATACAGAGCGATCTGCAAGGAAATACGTACGTGCTCTATAGTAAAGTGTAATGTCCAAAAACAATTAAAAACAATAGTTAATATGTGTTATTGCGTTGTCCAGTTTAACAAATTTTAACTCTGTAAGAATCTACGTTCAAGAGGCTTGAAAAAGACATATACTGTCGAAACGTCGTCACAAAATAAAAAAAAATAATGAACAAAATCTAGAAACATCTTTGCAACCCCAACGACCTAAAGCCAAGAGTGAAAACAAAAAAAAATATATAGTATACAGGTCAAAAGAAACGAAACAAAAAAATATATATATATATATATATATATATATATATATATATATATATATATATATATATATATATATATATATATATATATATATATATATATATTATATATATATATATATATATATATATATATATATATATATATATATATATATATATATATATATATATATATATATATATATATATTATATAAAATTATATAAGAGATTCTTGCCTTGAACTGCTAATATAGAAATTAATTCCACGCTGTGTTCGACATAATGTGGATCAACCTGCTCTCACTACCGGTTTCGGGGCCCTACCCCATCATCAGGTGAGCTTGGGTCGTTTTCACAATATGTCGAGCACAGCGCAGAGTATATAAACACGACTTGTTGTAAAGTAGCGGTAAGATATTAAGTCCCGCATTGCAAGAAACGACCCAAGCTCACCTGATGATGGGGTAGGGCCCCGAAACCGGTAGTGAGAGCAGGTTGATCCACATTATGTCGAACGCAGCGTGGAAATAATTTCTATATTAGCAGTTCAAGGCAAGAAACTCTTATATAATTTTATTATATAAATATCGTTATATTAATTTAAGTCTTTATAAAAATGACTTGACTTAGAATAAAATAATTTAAGTCAAAGACTTAATACTTAAATCATTTGAACTTTATGTTGAATTTGACTTATACACAAATTATTTTGATTTTAGAAATGACCTATTGAGTCTTAAAACTTAAGACTTTTTAAAAGTGACTTGTTGCAGCTCTGCTTCTAACAATTTTTTATTGGAAGATATATAGTTCATTATACTTTGATATGCGTTTTATTATCAAAATTTATTACGAGCACGTAACATAACCTATATTTTTTGATACACATTTTCAATAATTAAATTAGAAAATAAATTTCTAACTGATTATACAGCTATGAACACGAACTTCTACACGAAACATGTACATTAATTTGTCTAACTAATGAAAAACAAGGTTTCGGGTTTCAATTAGGTATTAAATATAAGTAAAAAACCTGCTAGTAAAAAGTCCATTTAAAAATATGGCGCGAACCTTTAGTTCTGCCAGTCACCGCTTGGATCACGGCTAACGCGTGTTACCAAGTTTTAACATAGGAATTTTCAGTTCTACTAGTTTATTTGGATCTATTCTATCG